AGATCACATATATGGTATATAACATGTGAACACCGTTATATGTTACAGACTGTGATAGACAATTTGCTCCAGGAAAGTTAGAATGAACTTGTGACTTTAAATGAGCACCATTATTCCACAATACTGTGAAATTCCAGAAATTATGTAATCACTTAATCACAATAAAAAAAAAAAGGAACCTCGGGGAAGGGAGGGAAGGAGGGGGATGGTAGGGGGAAAACAATGGAGGGGGTAACAATATTCAAGAGGAAGTGTACTCATTACCTCACTCATGTAACTGTAACCCTCTGTATGGTATCTTTACAATAAAAACAACAACAACAAAAAAAAAAAAACAGAACAACCCAGGGCTGGGAAGGTGGCTCAGTGGTAGAGCTCTTGCTTTGCATGCCTGAGGCCCTGGGTTCAATTCCTCAGCACCACATAAGCCAAAAGGAAAAAAGCCGGAAGTGGCGTTGTGGCTCAAGTGGTAGAGCACTAGCCTTGATCTGAAGAGTTGAGGGACAGTTAGTGCCCAGGCCCAGAGTTCAGGCCCCTTGACCGGACCCAAAAAAACAGAACAACCCTTTTGGTAAACATTAGGTGAAAAGTATAATACATAATGTTATCTAGAGCATAAGAGTAAATAAAGTACCAATGGTAAATGAACAAAATAATGGTAGCAGTCTCTAATAAAAAGCACAGGGGTCATGGGCGTGGTTCAGGGTGATAGAGCAGCTACTTAACAAGTGCAGGGCCTTGAGTTCAAGCCCCTGTTAATTAAAAGAAAAACCAAACGATAGCCGGGTGCCATGGGTCATGCCTGTAATCCTAGCTACTCAGGAGGCTGAGATCTGAGGATCGCAGTTCAAAGCCAGCTCGGGCAGAGCAGGAAAGTCCGTGAGACTCTTATCTCCAATAAACCACTAGAAAACCGGAAGTGGTGCTGTGGTTCAAGTGGTAGAGTGCTTGCCTTGAGCTGAAGAGCTAAGGGACAGCGCCCAGGCCAAGAGTTCAAACCCCATGACCGACCAAAAAGAAAAAAAAAAAGAAAAACCAAACGGACAAAAAAAGCCCACAGGACAAGAAAGTTTCCTTACAGGCAGCTTCAGGGTCAGCTCTGTCAGGTGACACTTCTTGATCAGCATCTTCTTCTCCAAACAACTGGCTGTAATTGAAGAAGAGAGAATATTTATGTCAAAAGCATTTCACTATAGACACCTATGAGGAAATAGGTGTCTGTCGCTTTTTGGGATATCCCAAATGTCTAGCAGGAAGAGAGTGAACATTTGATACATTTCCACTCTAGAAACCATCGGTGTGCATGGCTGGCATGTTAATTGGAGCCACAATACAAGTACACCTACATCTGCTACCAGCTTTTTTTGGGGGTGGGGAGCACTGGGTCAGCTGGCTTGCTTAGTTGTGTCATGCGTCCCCTCACTTAAGCCATGCCTCTAGCCAGGCTTTTTGCTGACTACTCTGGAGATGGGAGTCTCTTACACTTTCCCACACAGGCTGGCTTTAAGCTTCAATCTTCTGGCTCTTAGGTCTCTGATGAGCTAGGACTGCAGGCATGAGACAATAGGCCCTGGTGCCGTTAAAAGTTCCAACGTCCTGGCACGATCTCCCCACCAACTTCATTGTGCTAAAATTATGTTCTTTCAGGTTTCAGTGCTTGGGTTTGAACTCAGGGCCCAAAACTTGCTATGCAGGCAATCTACCACTTGAACCATCAACCCATTTCTTCCTTTTACATTTTAAATCTCTCTCATTTGGGATATCA